ATGCTGATTGGCCGGGAAGCCAGCTTCCCAGCCAATCAGCGTCGAGCCGGCTTCCTGGCCAAAGCAGGTCATTACTCGCCGCCCGGTTTTCTGATTGGCCAGGAAGCTGGCCTGATGCTGATTGGCCGGGAAACCGGCTTCCAAGCCATTCACAATCAAGCCGGCCAAACATGGAGTCGGCTTCCCTGGCAGTCAGGAAGCCGGGTAGCATCTCATTACCCGCTGCCCGGCTTCCTGATTGCCGGTAAGCCTGTTCCATGCAAACGGAAGCACCGATACTGGGCGAGTACCGAAAGCAAAATATCGGTACTCTATACCCAAAAACCGGTATTTGTGCATCCCTAGTTTTAATTAAAACTATTTTTTTTGTATTGGAACAAGTAGATTGTTATGAAGGACAAGTAGATTTGGCCCCCGCTTTAGCCCTTGGACAAGTAGTTTTTTCAAAAATTTCCACACCCCTGCGGCTGCAGCGCGGATCTGCGCTGTCAGCATTTAGTGGGCTATAGCCCGCTATATGCTGAGTTTTAGGTCACAGGAAGACTTTAGTAAGTGTCGCCCGGTGACCCAAAAGAGAAACTTTGGCCATAGTTCTCTTCATGGCAGAAGCGTAATGATAATTATGTGATCTTTTTTCTGTAGTGAAGCAAAAGCTCATTGCTAACCTGTGCAGATATCTTCCAAACACTCAATGAAGTACACTTTTGATGTTTCAAAGTGCTCATAACCACTCTCCTGTTCTACCATACCCTAATCAACAATCAAATTGGGAGCATCATTTTCGCTATATGTGGGGCCACCTTGGAGTGCAAAAAGAAATCTGGCTCCCAGGAGCTTATTGCAATAATGTATGCACAACATATTTGCACATTATGACAGACTTTTCTAGCAAAGCAATCCCCTCCAGCTCTGCGATGTTAGCTCTCCCCTCCATTGCCAGTGTTTACATCTACACCCTTGTCTTCTACAGGGTTCCTTTGGCTTTACGCTACAGGGTTCCTTTGGCTTTACGCTACAGGGTTCCTTTGGCCTTGCGCAATATCATGCACAGACTGTACACCGAAATGCACATGCATGGCACAGTGTACGTTTACAGAAAAAAAAAAAAAAAGCCCACAGGCAGGTAAAAGCATCTACGACAAAAAAACGTAGCACAGTCTCTTCTGACATAAAAAAAAGGCTTGTCAACATTTTTTAGTAACCTTAGTTTGACTTTGAAAATCCTGCACTTACCTATTCGGTGGCCTGCTTGCCTACTGATAGCAGCAATGCATTGTATGTAGGTCCTGGTGGTAGACATGGAGTCATTTTTAGAAAGCTCTGCCAATAGGTGTTCAATGAGATCAATGAACACAATGTTGCCACAACTCATTACCAGATGTCCAAGAGCAATGATGGTTCTTTTTCTTACAGCAAGCCTTGGGCTTGTTAACTGTGGAAGTAAACAACTCAAAATTGAAGGGTGGAAATTAACCAGCAATCCACCTTGTCTGAAAAAAGGAAAACAAAATAAAAAAAAAGCAATGTCACTACTGCATAGCAAATAGAACCCTTACCTTTAGGCCAATATAAAAATACACCAGGCATGTTTTAATGAAAATGGTTTAAATTATAAGAACGATGATCAAGATACAATAATTGTGCCGCCCCAATGGGGCATAGAATATGAGATGCATAGCCTCAGTTAATATTAGCATTGTTAATAGATGAGAATTTATATAGATTGTTTCTCTATACCATTTTCCTATGGACGTTTATATCGTGAGTTATATGTTGCCATCTAGTGGCCTTTTGTGGTAGTGTATGTATTTTTCAATGTTGCCTTCCTTGATATCCCTGGGGTCGATGACACAGTTCCTCTGTGTAAGCCCCACCCTTCTTCCCGAGAGCAGTACTTCCTGTGTCATGGCCACAGCTAACAGGCCACATGTAACTAGGACACATGTACTCTACATAGTACGCTAGAAAAGGCATCATTTTTTGACCGCACAATACTATAACCATTCAACTGCTGTTCCTGTCATCTGCTGTAACCTTGATGTTCAGAATAAAGCACCCTTTTTAATGAATCGGTATTGGTGAGTTCAGCTGACAAGAATTGTCCGCAGTGAGTATATCTGCTTATACAGGCCAGGCATAGAGGTCTCAGCAAGGAAATCGGGAGTCAGCAATCGGGAGTCAGAATAATAATCAATAGCAACCAATCACCTCCCCGTTCAGCAACACCATTAACTTTATTAAATAAGACTTTTATTTTACCAATTACAACTAAAAATGTTATAAACAATTGTTTCCAATA